AAAAAAAAAAAAAACTAAAATTAAATTAAGAATGCGAAAGCACGTGCGAATGAGAGGGAGCGCATCGGAACGAAATACGAGAAGGCCAGCAAGGATCAATCAAGCGAATGTCAACAAAGACCCCCCCCAAAAACAAATTCAGCAGCGCGTGAATAAGATGCTCCATCGGCACATTTTTCAAGACCTGCTCTATACGTCTCAGAAAATTCCTACATTTGCAAGTATTTACATCCAGGAACTTCATCAAGCAAGAGAGTCCGCGAACAGGACGGTCCGGGGGTACTCCTTCCTCAAAGGGGTCCTCCTCACGGACCAAGTGCCGAACCGAACCGAGCCGAACCGAACCAAGCCCAGCTCCTTAAGCTCCTCAACCCTCCCCGCTCGAGATTTCAATTTTCCTCGCGTCCAGACCCAGCAGCGAGACCAGCCACGGCGGCGGCGGCGGCGGAGGAAGTGAAGCTGCCGCCGCCGCCGCCGCCGCCGCCATCTGGGCCATCCGCACCGTCCAGCTCGAGGTGCATGTACCCGGCCAGGATGCGAAGTCGCGCCTGCACTTACATGGGTCACGTTCTCGTTCTCGTTACCTCCCTCCCTCCCTACCTACCTACCTACCTACCGCCTTGGATTCACACCCCCAAGCAGCGCGAGCCGAACGCGTATCTCAGTCGCCCCAGCGCGAGCAGAGCCCCGTACTGGAGAGATGGCGAGGGGCCGTCTCGGGTGGGGTGTTTCGCGAATGACTTGAGGGATAGCTGCAAGGAGATCGCGGGTGTGGGTGTCGGGGTTCGGAGGCTGGGAAGGACCTGCTTCTCGAGCTGGTCGGCGAGCGTGTGATCATCGGAGGGTGCGAGTCGTTCCGAGGTGGTGAGCTGCGTCAAGGGTGGTTGTTTGGCCACGTTGGGCACGTTGGCGGCGCTTTTGGGCCTGTTTCGCGAATAGTGACTTGCTGGGCACCGTTCGGAAAATCGGATTCGGAGAATATGGTTGCTTTAGTATGCTATGAGGGGTGGCGGCGACCTTGACAGCCAGCAAGGCAGTGAAGATATATACTGCGGGAATGAAATTGGGCGGACTACGCCCAGTGGACAGAGCCGAGAAACAATGGACGAAGCTCGAAAATGCACAAGTGAAAGTAAGACAGCAGGTATGTCAAATATTACGATTTGATACTCTTCAGGTATCGTAATCTATGGAAACGCGCAACTTCTTATTTCCCCCAGAGCCAAAACCAGTCTATACGCGAACGCCGTCCCAATGAAGGATCATAGAAGAATGAGAGATCGTTGCTGCGGCACTGGAAATGCAATCGCAGCTCTAAATCGGCATCGCGGCCCACCTGCCTGCTTTCTTCAGGCCGTGACCCCGCCCCATCCAAATGCTCGAAAGGGAACCTTCTATCTTGTGTGCACATGATCACATTTCCGCTACAGAGACGTCGGCTTGAACTTTTTGGTGATATAATAGGGTGAGGTGGTTAGGACTCGTCGTCGGTGTCCACCGGGTGAGGGGTACCCTTGGGGGAGTTGAGCCTGGCATCGCGTCAGTAAATCGCAAAATATATGTAAGGGAAGGGACTGACCATTCAATATGTCTCAATCGTCGTCTAACATCTCGCTCCTTCAACTCCTTCTTCGTCATCTTCTTCTTCTTCTTCGCGCGGAATGCCATATCCCCATTATCCTCCGTGCCACTATTGGCAGCGCTCACCTGAGCACTGGATACAGCACTGCTAATTGCACTACTCGCCACACTGCTGTTGAAAGCAGACCCAGGACGGCTTGAATCCTCGAATCGATCCGCGGCGACAGCGAAGTTACCTTTGTGGGTGACGCGACCGTCGGCGACGTACCATTGCTCAGGGCACAGCGCACCCACGAACTCCTCGTTGTGAGAAATCATCACCACACCTCCCTTGTAGTCGCGAATAGCGACGGCGAGACCACCGAGCGAGTCACGGTCCAAGAAATTGGTCGGTTCGTCCAGGACGAGCAGATGGGGGTTGTTCCACATGGCTCCAGCCAAGACGACCTTAACCTTTTGTCCTCCGGAAAGGCCGCTGATCTCGTTGTGATCGGCGATTTCAGGGTCGAGTCCTAGATCTTGGAAATGCTTGGAGATGACTTTGGGGGAGAGCTCACGGAAGCCAAGACCTTCGCGGGATGCCTCGTGATCGTCGAACTCCTGAATCAACTTTGTGAAGCCGCGCTCGACGAGGGTCTCGCGGGAGATTTGTGTGTTTTCCTTGGGCAGCATGTGCAGCCACTTGATCTCATACTGGAACGACTTCTTCCACTTTTGACGTCCCATGATGGCTTCGATGCGGCGGGGACCTTTGCCATCGTTCAGGTCGATTGTGACCTCCATCTGCGCCTTATCCGCCTCAGAAAGGACACGAGTCTGCTTCATGTGGACTTCTCTGTCGTCACCGTTGGCGTAACGCCACTGGAGGTATTGGTTGGGGGTCTTTTCCAAGTGCATCTCGACGTGCTCGAGAGCGTGTTGCTTGATGTAACCAATACGTAAATTGGGATGCTTCTCGACGCGACCAGAAGTTGGGATAGTCTCGCCGGTGAGGAGCTTGATCAGAGTTGACTTTCCAGCACCGTTTCCTCCAATAATGGCAGTTCGGGAGGAGAGAGAAAGTTGACAGGAGACGTCGTGGAGCGATGGCTTACTAGCACCGGGGTATGTATAAGAGCAGTTGGTCATTCTGAGAATCGAACGAGTGTTGGACTTGACACCCGTGAGTATACCGGGAGGTGGGAACTTGAACTGAGCGTTTGAAGCGGACAAGGTGTAGTAACTCTTGGCCTCGGGCTTTTGCTTGACGAAAGCTGCCAAGTTACCCTTGTAGCATGCAAGCTTCTTCCCTGGCTCGTAATGGTAGATATCTGTGCAGACCTCGTCCAGGAAACCGGAGTCGTGGGAAACGATCAAACTGGTGATGTCGGTGTGCGACTTGAGATACTCTTGCAACCATTTGACGTTGGCAACGTCCAAGTGATTCGTAGGTTCGTCGAGAAGAAGAACGTCAGCTCTCATCAACATAGCCCTGGCCAAAGCCAACTTCATTTTCCATCCACCGGACAACGATCCAACCTTCTCAGATTGGCGTCCCTCAGGACCTGGGGTGAAACCGACTTCAGCTAAAACCTCGGAAATACGCTCAAGACCTTGATCAGCAACGGCAGGATCCTTGGCAACAAATTGCAAGATGCTAATGTCTGCATCTTCACCCTGGTTGTGCTCAACGAAGCATGTGCGGAGGACATCCTGGGGAGGGAAACCTTCGAGCTTCCCATTGGCGATACTGCGCATGAGGGTAGACTTTCCAGCACCATTACGACCGCACAGGCCATATCTGTGTCCCTTGAGGAGGCGCAGGGTGGTGTGGTTGAGAAGAAGCATACCACCGTAAGCCAGAGAGAAGTTGGCGTTGACAATCTCAATCTCGCCATCGTCTTCCTTGACGGGGACCCCGAATTTTTTCTCGTCCTCATCGACGTAGTATTTCTGGACTGCATCTCCAACCTTCTCAGCGGCACCAGCTTCCTTCATGATATTTACAAGGTATGGGGCAACACGGGCTGCGATACGGCGGACCTCACGATGGTTGACATCCTCGGCGACCATCGCGCCGATGTAAGTTCTAGCAATCTTGAATACGTCTAGATCACCGCCCAAACCGCCGACCTTCTTGATCTCGGCCTCGAGGATCTTGGAGACATCATCGGATGAGGTTCTCTCCAAGACACCGCTTTCGGCACTGCCATCGTCATCACCCATAGCCTTGTGGATGACGTTCAAGGCTCTGGTGGCCAAATCTCTGACTTCTGGAAGCGAGGCTCTGTCCTTGACAGACTTTACACCAGGGCTCAGTTTTGGCAAGAAAGTTCTAGCCTCGACCGGATCGTGGACAAGCTTGGTCAAGTTTTCGACGACCACAACAGTTTGTCTGAGAACTTCTTGAGCGGTAGAAGGAGTGTTCAGGGATCTCTCCAAGAGAGGTGTCAGGAGGGCGAGAACTGGAGCAGTGACGATTGCAACGAACGTGGTTTGGGAGAGAGCGTGGATAGCCTTCTGGAGCGTCTCGACCGATGGGTGTTGCATAGTCTCGATCAAAAGGGGGATTCGAGGTGCAACATCGTCATTGGAGAGGAGAGACGTGAGAGAGGTCATGGTAACAACGGCTTGCTTCTCGACCTCGGTCTTCAAGTCGTGCATTCCAGCCTCGACAATCGGAATCAATCCTCCCAGCTTTGTGCCCATGGCCTCTCGCAGAATATCCTTATCGTTGGCTTCTTCCTTGCTAGTGCCGACCTCCATCTTGGCCTTGTCTGCCATCTTTTGCAGCAGCTTGAAGCCTCCAACGCTTCCTTGCCACTTTCCGGTAGCCTTGGCGAGGTATGTAGAGAGAGCTGGGAGCAGACCAACGACGAGAGCCTCGGAGCTTAGATTTTTGAAAAGCTCATCCAGACCGTATTGAGCAGATTCGCGGACGACTGAGCTCTTATCGGCCAACGCATCGAGAGCGCAGGCGACCATGCCTCCATCCTGAACCAATAGAACAACCTCGCTGATTCTTTGCCGAGGAGGGAGACGCTCGAAAAGCGCACCCAGGAGGTTCTGGGCACATTCTCTTTTCGCAGCACTCTTCTTATCGGCGGCAGCCTTCTTGATGGCAGCCAAGATGCCGTATTGCGACAGGCCCCGGAAGCCCACGGAGTTCAAGAGCAGATCGCACAAAGCGTATGCGGACGAAACGGAGGCATCAGAGGTAGCGGCAGTGAAGATAGTATCGAGGAGCCCGTCGACCTCTTCTTGAGTTGGGGCTGGGCCAGCCTCTTTGGAAATCATGGTGGGGGGCATTGTGCGGGCAGGCGATAACTGGTGGGGCATATCTGAGCGTGCAGCGCTCTTTGAATGAGACCGAGTAGTCTACAGAGATCAGAACGAAAAGAAGTTTTGATTTGAAGTCTCTACTATCGTCGTGGTTGGGTTCTGGGGTTTTCGTATTAAGATTTGCGTGATGTTTCGAAACGGTGTTCTTTGTAGCGGGGACCTTGGGTCGAGGAGGCAATGGTCGCAATTCACACACAGACGAGTTGCGGTAGAGGGGAGATTTTGGAGTGGAGATTGATCTGGCCGGGCAGATATGGGGAGGTTTTTTTTGGGGGGGGATAGGATGAGGGTATTCGGAGTCTCAGCCGCGCGTGGCAAAAGACGGAGTGGTGAGATAGGAGGTCAGAGACGAATTGCAGTGAAGTGGAGGATGAAGAGGGGGGAGAAGAGGAAAGATTCGGTTTTGGCGGGCAGACACAATTTTTTTTTATCAGTGCAGCGATTAGCAACCGAAACAAGCGTAGTCTGCTTCCGGGTTAGCCCAGCAGAACGCTTTGCTTGGTATTACTAAGCTTTCGGACGGCTTTTGATTGGCTGTCGGGGATTGGGGATAACGTGGGAAAATATCCGAAATTCACGTGCTTGATTTTGTTTTTCTGGGATTGGAGCTCCAGCGCATTGTCGGTAGAACTACCTAGGTCGGACTGGAGGATCTCAGTCTTTCCAAAAGGTATAGGTCGGTAGTTATCTACTCCATGTCTCAGCATGGACATTTTAACTACTATACCTACAGTAGCACGAGTGAGTTCATGACTTTGCAGTCTGCAGATCAGCTAGTCTGGTCTCTAATCCTACTCCCACTTCAGCTAGATCCGGCTAGCGTAGGGTCTGTCTTTCTTGTTTTCGTTTTCTAAACATCTGCGCAACGCTCGTCCGGCGGCTTCTGAGCGGTTGAGCAGACATAATGCAAACCGGTAGGAACTCTCCCCTTTTTCTTCCTTCAGATACAGTCGACTGATAGTATTCATGATATAGGAAACACCATCTTCCTCGCCCTCGGTGCATCCGCCCAACCACGCTCCAAACCCTTCGCTTGGCTGAAATCCCTCATCTTTCTTCACAACCCTTTTCCTCCTGGGCTGCTTCACATTTTGCATCAACCCGATCCACATCCCCGAAATCTCGCGGCACGCTCGCCACCTCTTTTCTCCTACAGAGCATATGTATTATCGTAGCCGCTATTCTCGTACAAACACATGTTTCGTGCCTTAACCCCACGATCTCAACAAACCTTCATCGGACATCAACTTGTTAGAACTCCTGCCCTTGGGTTTCTTGCTTTCCAATCTGGAGGTCAGATTGTCACGTCTAGGATCCTGAGCTTCAATGAAGTGCCCACGACGGTGCTGACGAGTGTGTACTGCGATATTGCGAGTGATCTACACATATTCAAGCGGGAGAACGTGAAGCGGAACCGGAGGGTGGCGGCCGTGGTCTGTATCCTTGCGGGCGGTATTGCGGGAGGGTGGATTAGCAGGAGTGCTACCGGAATGTCGGTCAGTCTGTGAATTGCTGCGGGAATACCGGGCAATTGCGGCATCGTAGTCGGCTTGGAGGCCAAACCGGGTGGTGATGTGAGGCGTTGGGAACTGAGACGACAGCCAAACGTGATGACGAATTTGCCGCACCGAGGAACATATGACGGAGTTAAGGTGTTGCTTTTACAATAGGTCGCTGTCATTGATTTTATATACGAAGAAACCCGCGGCACGCAAGACGCTATCACGACCGATCTACGACTATTACGCATTGAATTATTCGGGAGAAGCCCGCATGAGCTATGCACATCTTGGTAGGAACCAGGAACAGAAACTTTGGGAGATGCTTGTGCTTTTTGGTTCCGAGGCAACTTCTGCTTCACTATGTACATCTTGCGGCTGAAATAATGTTAGGAAAACGGAAACGGGAAGCTTAATCTGGTGCGATATGGCATCATCCACTTACCTGTATCTTCAAACTTCGGCGAAAATACGTTGGTCTTTGAATAGGAATGGTTTTCTTTACTGTTTACTTTTTGAGACCTGGAGTGTGTTAGGAAAGCTGGATTCTCATCTGCGTAGAGTTTCTGGGCGATGCAGAGTTCAATTTACCTGGACCTCCTTTCTATCGCAACCAAACCGAACCGCCGATGGGCTTTCTCTTGGTCTACCTGACTGTCTGGCTTGATCTCCTGGATCGGCAGGGAGCTTAGTCTTCGTCACTTACTCCATGAATAGTATGAAGACAGCGCCGGCCTCTCCGTTAAAGTCCTCTGTGGTCTTGCACTTGGCAACGCCGCCACGGGCTTCATGTCCCTCTTTATCGTCTGGCCCTTAAAACCCCTACCATCAACTGACCCAGCCAGCTTCCCTTCCAGGTGCACCAACTCAAATCCATTTGGGTCAATCAGCTCCCGGCCCCCCACCACCATACGGGTCCTGCCCAGCACCGCCCTACCCACCTCACCAATACCACCAACCGCATGCCCAAACTCGTCCTGCTCACCCAGCCTACCCTTATCATCATCATCAATAGCAGACGGCCAGATGGTCCTCGTCGAGCTCGTCGAGCCCGCAGACCCGCGTCTCGATCGCGATAGCGTCACCTGCGCTTGAGGGCCAGCAGGCGCAGGCACCTCCTCATCCCCCAAAACCCAGGTCACGGCCTCCAGCCCCTCCAGCCTCGCCCGCTCATCACCCCCGCCGCTCGCGGGCGCGACCGTAAACCGACTCAGCGGCCGCGCCGCATCGAGGCGGAACTCTACCTCCCCGCGCCGTCCGATCGTCGGCGTGATGCTCCTCTTTGAACTCCCATCGTCCTCCTCGTCATTGCTAACGGACCGGTGCGTGCGTAAGAAGGTGATGGCTAGGTCGCGGTAGACGTGTGGTGGGATGTTCCGGGCTGTGAAGAAGGCGCGGCAAGAGGGGCATAGGTCGTTGATGTCGTGGCTTGCTACTGCGGCGGCGGCGGAGAAGGAGGAGGCAGCGGAGCTGGATCTGCAGGGGCGGGTGAAGAAGCCTAGCGTAGTGAGGAGGCCGGTTAGAGGCGTGCAGGGCTTTGTATTGCTCGTCGTGTGGTTGCAGAGGAGGAAAGAGAGGATGTGGGTTTTACACATTTTGAATAGAATGGTGTTGAGGGTCAGCGGCTTTTTTAGGGGGTGGGGGGGTCGGGAATCGTAGGGGTAGGTGTGGTATGGTTTCTTGGGGTGTATCACCTCTGTCTGTTCGTTTGTTTGGTTGGTAGGTTCGGCTTGTTTATTCGTTCATTCGTATCCAGACTCAGACCCAGATCTCAGACTCGGATCGAAAAGCTGCTCTTGCTTGCTTACTTGCTTGTTTTCTTAGCGGGCACAGCAAAGGAGCTATATAAACTGCTTTATTCACCACGCTGATCTTTTGTTTTTAGGTCAAATGGGTTGGTCGTCCGACGTCGTTCGATGTCTGTCTATCTGTGGTCTGTTTGGTTTGGTCTAGTCTGGCTGGCAAGTTGGTAATCTAATGGTGAATTGGAGATGTACACTTTTATATATACACTTTAGATATATATCTTTCATCGTTGGAATTTATGTCTATCTTTATCTTTGTTTCTGTCTTTATCTTTATCTTTATTGTTGGAGTTTAGAATTCATCTTTGTTGGTGAGAGAAAGAGAGAGGGAAAGAGACACAGGGAAGAAAGAGAAAGAGAAAGAGAATGGGTAACGAAACAATGAACAATGAACAATAGAATGGGTGTAAAGAAATGAAAATGAAATTTAATACAAAAAAATAATTAGATGAACGAATATAAACTGACAAAAGGAAATAGAAGAATACCCGACTCAGTGAATACTTCTTTCGAGTCTTGTCTTAATCGGTTTCGCACATGACACTTCCGGAATTAGGAGGAGCGAAAATCTTTTCTTTTTTTTCCCTTTCTTCAAGCAACGAACGGGCTAGAAACAGAATCGAATAGAGGTATTGCTAAATACTCAGTATTCAGGCCACTCGCCGTCACAGATTGGCTGCGGTCGTGAAGTGTAGTCACTGCCTAAGGAAGCGGGTTGGGCCAATCCTTTCGAGCTGCTAGCTGGCTTCTGAAATGATGCAGACAGGTGGATAGAGGTAAGGTACTACTGACCGGTAGGTTGGTAGGTTCGCTTATCCTTAGCTCCTTGGCGAAACTACAGGGAAGCAAGCGTTCTTGAGCTAGAGTTCCTCTTACGGCGGCGTCGGGCATCTAAATGATGTTTTGATGGCGAGTGTATAATTGATTGAAGTCTAAATGAAGACACCGTGTAGATCGCAGATGCGGATATATTTGCTTGGTTTGCTATTGCTCGTTAGTTGTGCTCTTGTGTCTAGATAGATCAAACGTACTATATGTTATCTTTGGAACAGAGGTAAGTGAGCTAACTATTCTCTGCTTTCGTGTTGTGTCGGGTCTCTTGTTTTGTCTGTTTCGACGGCTAAGAATAAGAATACTGCGGATGGTGGGAACTATTCCCATAGTTTGGAGTCATTAATGGGAAGCTATCTCCGCGGAGACATCGTTGTTAAGCTATCAGATATCACAAACACCTCATCAGTAGAAAGAATGTGTTTCGATATAACTCTTGGCTTTGCCAGTTGTCTGAACTGCGAATCTGAACTATTCAGCTTCCCACGTGCCCAACAGCACGTCAGTTATATTACCGTCGAGCTTCTGAGTGTTACTCCAGACTTATATTGAGGTGGTCTCCCATGCTTCTGCTACTACTGCTTCTATATGAGCGTCACGGTTAGAGACGCCGCCGCCAAGAGGATCGAAGCCTCTATCAGACTAGACGGATACTTCATTTCATACCCAGGAAGTTCAACATGCTCCGGGAATACACAGCCCATGCCCCGGGCCTCAACTATCCCACTAATCTGCTCAAGATTAGCAATGAAGAGTTCGACCCAAAGCAGTCGGAGGAAGTCAGAGGTCTCGCTACTGACGTGTGGGTTCTAGAACCACTCAGTTGCTCTATACGGTCCGATCAGATCACACACAGCAAAGGAGGCAAATCCCCTCAAGCCCAACTTCCGCAGGGTCTCAGCCCTTTTTCGGATCCAATACTAGCTCGCTAAAGTCGCGATGCAGTACGCTGTAAACAAGTAGATGCTCGAGCAAACCATCAAGGCCCAGCTGCCACTACCATTCGACCCCGTTCCGCTTTCCTCTCTGGACGAAGATGATAGAGAGTGCGACATCTGCCGATGACATCGCCGAAGATCCCGTCAAGACTTTATGTAATCATTGTTTCGGCGGTAGGTGTCTGCTCGTGTAGTTATTATAGAACCGTAGCTGCCTCAAGTGCAGACGCACGCTGGCAAACCTCGCTGAGTCCGAGGCACGACCCTGGGCTGCCGTCGAAGCGGCGTGGCCCGCCCGCGAGAAGGCTCGACAGGTGGCCAACGCCAAGAATCCCCTTCCACCTCCGGGCTGGCTCGTCTCGATCCTAAGGGTCAAGGATTACGGAGAGTGGACAATTCAGTTCAGCGATATGGATGAAGTTGGGTGGAGTCATGAGTGCTAAGTACCGATCATTCTGGTCTTAAACGGTTGTATCCACATCAGGTATAACGACGATAAGGGACTTGGACCTGAAGCAGAAAGCGAGCTCGATATCATTTATGTGAATGAGAATGTGGTTAATTATATCAATTACTCGTAAAGCTAGCAAGAGGAAATCATAGCGATGGATAGCAGGAAAGCATGGCAGTGGATAGCAGACTAAAAACATGTCAAGCAAACCAAACGAAAGCGATTAGTAAAAGATAAATGCAAGAAAGATCCAACAGTAAATTGTGTTAGGAGCATACTGTGATCCCTCACTCGATGTTTGTGAAACCCAATACTACCTACCCACTTTACCCATCTACATTTGATGGCGAGGTGATGTCTATTGTATCACATGGCCAGAGGGACATTAGAACCCGAGACGGCCGTTGACTGAATTCTAAAGAATGAACCGATAGTGATCAAGGTAGGTTGATATTTTCCAGGCAGAGCAAACGCCCCAGGTAGCCTTAGGAGCCTGAACACTTAAGGATTCCGTTCCGTCCCATCTCCTAGCCATCTCATGTGACCCGGAAGAAGCGAATATGGTGCGGCTTCAAGGGCTCTGCGGCTTCTCGTTATTGCACACATTCTTGAAAAAGAGGCCGGATCATTTCGGAGTAATCAATGTGAATTTAACGTGGAGTAGTTGTGCTTTGAAAGTTGAATAGTGGGCTGCCGCAAAGAGCGAGTCAGTCAATCTGTTGGGATTGTATGACGGCCACGGGAAGTTTTCATCGTCATGTAAGGCCCTTGAACAATAAATTTTGTAAGATTTACAACAATAGCAGATGCCCGTGAGGTGTTGCTCATGTTTTTATGCCAGTTAGGAAAACAGAAGAAATAGGGCAGTTGGGCAGATGCGCCACCTCGGTAACTATGTACCTAGGTAGTTTGCTCGAGCGGAACATAGTAACCCCGTGCCGAATCCATTCAGCCCAAGCCATGCACTCTTTTTCCAACGTCACTCCATCTGACATTTGTCTATCCTACCTCCCTATGCCTTATTCATTGAGTATAGACTGTCCACAACTATCCGTTGCTTCCTAGGGATCCCCAGGGAACTTAAATACTACTTTCAGGTCATGTGGAACCCGCATATGGCGTCTGAGTCCCAGAACGTTGGCCAAACGTCGCTTGTGCCAGTGGCCAGTGTGTAACGAAAAAACATTCCAAAATTTGCGCGTGCATCATATGTTTGATTGTTATTTTGAATTCTGATATTCGAGCTTGCATTTCGAATCCCAGCCATTGATTTTTTGCCTGAAACTTGTCCTTGCTCACCACTATTGGCTGTTGAGGGCGGTGGACATAATTTCCCAAGGACTTCCTACCAACAAAAACTGTCCCCAATGCTGCATTCTTCTGTGAAATTGCCTGTGAATTTGCATGCCATGGATCGTTGTCTCTGTTCCTCTGACCATTCGCGAGTTGATGGGTACATAATGAGTAGAGCACAGTCAGGACAGAAAACCATCGATACGGAATTTCCAGATCTCACCACGAGACCCGGACTCATATCGTCCGTAGCTATGGCTGTGATTTTTACCAGTTCCACACACACATATGCTTGCTAGATGACTGGGTGTTGCGGCTCATGCGTTCCTAGTGGGAGGCTGTGAAGCTTCCATATAGCCTGGGTTTCCAGTACGGCATCCTGTTGCTCCTTCACGCTTCACCATGAAGACAAGAATATATACATAACGAAAGTCGTCTAGAAATGTTTCTGCCCTGCTGCTCAACTATGTGAGGGCGGTGCGGTGATGCATGCGATTTGCTGGTATCGATATGGTTCTCCTTTTCCAAAATAAAGCGATGCTATAGATATGAAGGATGTTGCTATGCGAATGAATTGCATTCATTGCCCGGCAGTATGAGGCCATCAAACTCGACGCGGTGCCAGTCCGGCCAGACCTCGCCGGCGCCAGCACGGACCACCCCCAACCTCAATTTTCAATGGTATACAATTCACAATACCACGCTTGTCTAACCTAACAATTTAGGTCACCCGAATAAGGCTATCAAGCTCCAAGAACTTGTCCCCCTTCCTAACATGTTTGAGGTGGTTAATGCTGACGTGGTACCTTCGGAGAGTTCCAAACTCAAAATCGTTAGGTGATGGTTCGCCTCCCAGTGCGCAAGGGTTTGGAATGATTCAATTGGTGCCCATCTAGGGAAGATGTAGAGGTCCAATCCCTCGAACTTCATTTTGTATTTTTTCTACTTTTTTGTGCTTTTTTTGCCCCTTTTTTATTAAGCGAGATCATCATTTTGCTGTTCGGATAGTATATATCCACCACGATAGCTGGCTGGAAAGCGACAATCAGATGGTCGGCATTTTCGATCTCTAATGACTTGGAGGCTCCTTTACTTTCCTATCGTTTTTGACGTTTAATAATCAACTTTAATACATGTGGCTGAAATGTCTGACATGGAAACTTTTTTTTCCTAGCCAAGGATCACTTGGACATACATGACTGAGGCTTGAGGGCACATTGAACCGCCTTGGATTCAGTGGGCCCGGCTGATAACTCTAGTTATCTGTCTATTCGACTTGATTCGTATTTGCGTAAGGGATCCAATTATTCACGAGGACAGAAATGCAGAACGAAAAACTGGCGCTTGATTGATCACTTCAGCTCTGCGCACCGGTCCTTCAAGATTCCGAACTACAACACTCCTGCCAACCGCAAATCGCATACAAAAAGCTAGAACAACAAAATGCAGGGGTAGAGTCTGACTTGCCTCACCAACCGCGAACAAACATCCAGGCTAACAACGGTCGTCCAGCACAAAGGCCATCGGTCCCGAAATCTGGAGCTGCCGAAACTAGATCGACGAAGAACATCTCAGCCCCCGCAGACAATCCGCTGAGTACAAATCCTCCTCCTCGTACTCATCACCCCCCTCGTACTCCTCCTCATCCCCACCTCTCTCGTCAAAACAACCCCCCACCCCACCATCCCTACCCACCTCCTGCTCTGGCGCCCAGGCCCGAGCCGCCTCTTCCTCCTCGGCCTCCTTCCTCCCCTTCTCCAGCCTCTTCCGCAGCGCTTTCGCAGCCGCTTTCCTCGCCCTCACCCTCTTCGACCTCTTCTTCCCCCTGCCCCTATATCGGGCGTTCACCCCACCCATATCCACATCCCCATCCTCGTCCTCCTCGCTCTCCTCTTCTTCAGCAGCCTCCGACTTCTCCCTCTCTTCCTTCTCCGCCCTCTCCCTCTCGGTCCGCTCGGCCAGCTCGCGCCGATAGGCGGCGGGGGGGGCGTGAGGGATAAATCTGCTTCTGCGAGGGCCCAGCCACATGGAGGGGGGGAGGGCAGCAGGAGCAGCCGGAGCGGAAAGGACTGGTGCCGCGATGGCGGCGGGCGGAGGGGTGACTGGTCGCCGAAGGTTGGCGAAGAAGCCGGCGAAGGGGTCGCTGCCCCCCCACCCGAGGTCGGGCGAGGAGCAGCGACGAGTGCGCTTCCCATCCCCGCCGTGCGGCGATGGGGATGATGAGCGGCTTCTCTTCATCGCTGTTGGTTCCGCTTGCTTGTTTTATGGTGGTTGAGATGGCCGAGAGAGAGAGAGAAGGAGCTTTTGTTTTGATTGATGGTAGCTGACGCTAGATAGTTAGCGCCCACGTGACATTGCGCGGCCGCTGGAGTACGAGTTCACTTTTCGCCAGCAGCAGCAGCAGTGAATTATTGACGTTATGACGTAATGGGAATCTAAGAGCAGCTGCTGCTTAATAGACCTTTGCAAGTAGGTTTGTTTTGGTAGTAGTAGGTTGGTTAGTTAGCTGGCTAGGCCAAGCCGGGCATTAGAGCATTTCCTTTTTTTTTTGGCCCAATTTGGAAAGAGCAGTTTGGATAATTTGAAGAGTTTAATAACAGGTTTTCTTTTATATTTACGTTATGAGACTGATTTGATTATGCAGAGGATGGAAAAGAAGTGCATGTGTATATATATTATTCACGTAAAGAAGGAAACAAATCAAAACTCGTTGTGCGGAACTGGCATGCTTCAGGTTCCACCCAAGCTAAGGTACAGATCAGATGACCTCGCCTAGTAGCGCCCTTGGCGCACTGGAGCTCCGAGGTATACTGTTACTCATCTCGATGAGCTTCCTCGATAGAATATACTAATCTTCATTCAATCATCGGAATCACCTCCTGACCTTAGCGCTCCATCAGCGCTATAAAATTTTGAGGAAGTAAAATATCAATTGTCGGTTGCGATTTTGAGTATATATATACCGGTATATCATCGTCATCATCATCACCATCACCATCACCTCTCGACCCTTTCCAGGTATATCAATCGGAGATCAGAAGAGGATCTCGGTATATTCCTTCCTCTGTGGATATGATGGAATATAGATCGTGCTACGAAAGAGGTAGTGGGCTGGATTGAGTTATTAGAAGCCACTTGTCTATCTACCCACCCATCTATCTAACAACAATGTTAATCTCAGTCCCTTTTCCTCACTGAAAAAAAAAAAAAAAGGAAAGGAAAGGTATGGAATATAAGAATGACCAGGTATCCTCATCCTCAATCTCCAAACACCCCCTCCCACCCTTCCGATCCAAATCCAATCCAATCCAATCCAATCCAATCCAATCCGCAATCCACCTTAACAATCAACCAGTTAGTCAGTCCCCCTTTCTTTGATTCTTTCTCGTATCTCTACTATTGCTAGTACTTACCTAGTGATAACACCAGGTCGCAGGAGGAAGCGTCTGATAATATGGTTGTGGTTGACTTGACTTTGTATTATCTAGAACCAAGAATTGGGCTGAGGTTGTACCGAGTAGGAAACCAGTGCCAAGGATTGAGGTTCGTGCACCCTGCTCTCCTTCCACTACAGTATACCTCGCAACATCTGCTATCATCTACTCTGCACTTGCTTCCTTACTTACTTGCGAACTCAATATAGCGTAAGGTCCTCTGAGGCCATT